GAACTGAATATGTGGACCCAGTGAATATAGTTGTCTTTTTAACGAAAATAACTGTCAAAGTGTAGGATATATAATTGAAATTCAAAAAAAAAAAAAAAAAAAAAAAAATACTTTTCTGATAGAAGATTGCCTGTGTGTTACAAATGGGTTGAATTGGGTCAATATTATACTTAGCCTCCATATATCTAAAATAAAGTTTTTCTAATTTCCGGGTACATTTATACGCAAATATCGGTCAATATGTGAATTAATAAAGTTGAGAGAGCTTGGTTTTCTAATAACGGTACAGCTTTGTGCTAAAAATGAATAAAACCGGGTAAAAACTCGTCCTACGGCCCTATAACTAATAAGCCTTATCAACCTAAAGGTATTGGTCCCTGGGATTAGTGCTTGCAAATTCTAAGGGTGTGAAACGTTCGGKTATATCCTTATTTGTTTTTTATTCTTATTAAATTTTGGAGATTTTAGAATTTYTTAAAGAACAATACGTAAAATGATCACAGCAAAGGAATTGTCTTGCGCTGATGCCGTCTGCTTCGCAGTGTCATTCATTCACTCTTGGCTCACATTGGCTCATATTTATTAGCTCAATATAGAAATATAGTTGTAAGTTGCAACTTCTGACACACGTTTTTGTCACGCCCCCATTTATGAAGAGCTCCCTTAGCCGGACGAAAACATTGCGCCGGTGGGTGCTCGGTTATGGTAATTTCACTGTATCATGGCATACAAACTAACCGTTCAAYATTAAGTTATTGTATGGAAACTTCTTGTGTTATGCGTGTATGTATGTATATGTTATGTATCTTATCTTCCTTCATACTTTTACCTTAAACTTTAACGATRAACAATTCACACAACAAAAACAATATAGTAAGGAGCTTAATTAATATCTAATAGTTGACATACAGTATTATTGAATTTAATTTGAAAGTAATTTCCTCACACTACGACACCGTTGAGCGTGTATCGTTTTCGTGGAATAAATCACAGTTGTGAAATTTGTGTACAACGAACGGCTGGCGAATAATTAGAAGCAGCCAGAAACGAATAARGAGTTGTAGTTTGTTTAATTTTAGAGTCAAAACGTATCCAATTTGTTTAATTAAAATCGAAATTTTAATATTTAGTGTTCATACGTCTTTTTGCTCATAATCAAATTTAACTGTTTGGCGATGTTGAATAATTTCGAAAGCATCACGCCAATAAATGATCTATTAAACAATACTACAACGCCTCAAACACAATCCGACTTCCATTGTTGTAATTGGTTTGGACTTTATCATTATCTGGTCGTGCTCTTTGTTCTTCTAGTGGGATTATGTATACTGTTCGTTAAGGTATTGTACTAAAAAAATTATAGTTATGATTGATTGTGTTATTAATGAAAAAATCCCTTTAACTTYATTGAAGATGATGATTAAAGCTCAGCGAAAAGCATATAGACTATTGCAACCAGGTAAATATGCATATTAGTTACTCAAATCGTTATTGTTTTACTTTGTTACACCTAGAAGGAAACGTCAGAGGCCCTRTATCTTGAGTTGAGTCGATTTAGCCATGCCGGTCTGATGGACAGTCTGTATATACGCGAACGAATTGAGATATCCACCAATTTTTTTTCACGTCGTTTTCTTACCAAAACGCTTCTTATACCGATATCACCAAAATGAATGATCGGAATCAAGTCCTTCTATGGAAAACTTTTTTATTAACAAGGCAGCTTTACTAAATTTAGCATGCCTTATTTCYGAAACCAACGGTACAACCTTCGAAGATATTGTCCAGATCAGATAGCATATAGTTGCCATATATACTGAACAATCGCAATCAAGAACTTGGATGGAAAACTTTTTTAATTGATTATTAGATAAGATAGGATTATCCTCCGTTATCCTCCCTGTGTATTTGTCCACCGCACCTCCAACCTACCCCACTTTCGAAGAGAAGAAAATACCGAATTTTATCATTTAGATAAGAAAACGGTTGCGGAATGTATCTGTAATATTAATATGAAATATCTGTCATCTTGAAAAATTCTGGTGGTCTGTGTAGCATATTTTAGTTGATAGTGCTGGCTTCTACAGTTATATCTTATATTTATGAAAATATTTATCCTTATAAGTAAAAAGTACATGCCAAGTTTTTGTCCGAGATAAACTGATAAGCTACTGAACAGATTTTAATAAAATTTTGTGCACTGTGTACATTTTGATCAGACTAAAAAGATAGGATAGTTCAAACAATATAATATTCTCCCGAAATATTGCACAGGACAATGCAAGTTTTGGACGGTAACGAAGAGCTGGTACTGTTTTACTCCTTTCTGGAAATTATATTTAGTCAACACAAAGTTCATCGGAAATACCATATGCTTGAAAGAAACAACTAGAATAGMGAATTTAATGGAGAAATGTTTCAAAGTCAAATAATGTCTATTATCGATTTAAATTTTAATCATTTCAAATTTAGACCTCACGTTCAAATCTTAATCCCTTGGATCCTTATACCCGCTATAACTTTTTCATCTTTGTAAGTAATATTCTATAGTTTATTATAGTAATATTTATTGTATGCCTTAGCCACGTGTCTGGATCCTTAGTATTACAGGAATATTATTATTTTTTATCTTATTTGCATTTAAAATAAGAAAACACATTAATTTCGGTTTGCCCCGAAGCTTATACCTTTCACAACTTCAAATTTTTCTTACAAGAACTTGATTTGAATCGATGAATTTGTATATCAGCTAAATTTATGCAATTTCGTCGGGGATCTTGTCTTGTCTAAAGCAAAGACTTGAGTTTGATCGGTTTGCATGGCAACTATATGTTATAGAGGTCCGATATCGGCGGTTCCGAAAAGTAGCAGGTTCTTGGAGAGAAAAGGACGTGTGCAAATTTTCAGAAGTGTTATCTCAAAAACTCAGCGATATAAGCATGCAGACATGCAGACTGATATGGCGAAATCGGCTCAGCTCGTCATGCTTATTATGTATATACATACATACACATTTTATACGGTGCTCTGAGTGTTATAAACTTCGTGTCAAACTTAATATATCCTATTCAGGGTATAATAATAAATTTACAAATACGGAAAAACAAAAATTGCGTGCCATAATTGTTTAATCAGCACAAAATACTATTAAAAATAAATA